TGGAGGTACATATGATCAGTTTATTATCAGTAGTTTTCCATACCAATGTTATTCAAAACCAAGGTGAAAGCCTGTTTCTCATTTTTTGCTTCTCGTGTCTTGAATCTTGACTTAAAGTTCTTCAGTATTGAGTTTTGATTCTTGAACTGGAAATTTCATGGTAATGAATGGGTGATGTGCATTTTTTATCAATATTTTTTTCCCAGAAGAAACCACCTTGTTTTTTTTTTTTTTTATCATACTTCAACCATAAAATGGAAATATATTAATATGTTATTTTTTCCCACAGAGTGCCACTTGCTTTATTATTGCTGTTTACTCTAATTTATTGCTCACCAACTTTCTATTTGCCACTGTTTATTGATGTGAAAATGTGCTAAATATGTTTATTAATATTTTGAAAATGTGCAAAAGTGATAGCTATATGAATGATATGAAGTAAAAGAGTTTTTACATGATTTTGCAGTTGTCTGTCATTTTATATTTCTTTTCCGATATTGCAGAGTTTGATGATTATGCAGAAATCGTTGATGATGATCCAGATTATGCACATCCTATGGCAGGTAGGCTGATGAACTTGGTCAAAACTGCTTTGCTGCAGTGTTATGAAAATCAAACATGAGAGACACCATATCAATCTGTGACACATTAATAAAATTAACTCTTATCACAGGAACCATTACTCTGAATCTCGACAAGCACAAATTACATTGTAGTTTAAAGTTCAAAATAAATGAAATTAAATCTTATTAATTAACAACTCAGAAAGAAAACAAGTGTTAAATTTACATGTGTAATTCAAGTGCTCTTTGATTTAAAACCTTTTTTATTGAGTAGTATTTAGCAGTATTTGTTTGAATGTGCAGTATTTAAGCAATGGAGTACTTTTCCATGGTTACATGTACATACCCTCATCTAAACACAAGAGAGGTTCAGACAATTCAAGACAGTTATGCAAACCCGAGATGCAGTCGAGGGTTTGCATAATTGTCAAGAATTTTCCTGAATCCCCAACTGTTAAGTTGAGGCTATGTAGACACAGAAAAAGGCTATTGCTTTTATAAAATATATATTTTATAAAATGTTGTCAAAAATATGTGCAAATCTAAAGCA